AATTAATAAATAATTTTAGAATTTAAAATTATTAATATAATATAATTACACTTCATTTATTATAAATGTTACATTTGGAGTTAGCTTACTGCCACTTGTAATACATAATAATTATATTGTAGTAAAAGTGCACCTCCTTTGTTTTTTTTTTTTAGAATTTATTGACATATAAATACAAAATAATGGATATATATATATGTATTAATTATGACATATATAATAGATTATATTATGTATGTTATCTATACACACACATACATACATATATATATATATATATGAATCCAAATTTTTAAGATATTAGACTAGATAAAATTTATATTCAATTTTTTTATTTCAAATTATAAATTTTAATAGAATTATGTTACTTGAATTTTTTACAAAGTAAAAATTTTAAATAATTAAATCAAATTTACATAATTAAAATCCGATGTATTAACTGGCTAATTGTTGCAAACACATTCTTCGGTTTTCGAAAATTTGAAACAGTTTTTAAAGACAATTTCACTTAAAAATATTTCAACTAGTTTCCAATTATTTCTATTTTTAGAAATATCATTAATAAGAAAATAGGAAAATAAGTAATATTAAAACGATTCACCCACCATATATAATCATCTCCATGCGTTACACGTGTCATAATATTGCAATATGTTAAGACAATATTGGGCAACTCATTCTCAATCTTTGAATTAAATGTTTTTGTTTAGAAAAAATTCCTTGATAGGTTTTAGTATAAGTTTTAGTCATGTCAAGACATATATCGTAAAATGTACAAAAATATATATGTATCATTTAGACAGTGAACAAATTAAGTAAATCATTAAAAGTCATAATATATATCTCGTAACACTCAAAATCAAGTAGGAATATCAGAACAGAGTATTATTTTAATGGCAGAGTATATCATACTAGAGACATCACATAACAAATCTCAAATCAAAGCTTTCTTTTCACAACAAAGCGTATCTTATAAGAGGTATCGGATATCACATATCAAATTAGAATCTCAAATCAACAAATCATTGTAGATCATGCTCGAATATCTTGAGCTAAAGGCATCACAAACAGAATTATAGCATATTAGAACATAGATCTCCCATTGCATACATAAAATAAGATTTATAAAAAAGGCATGTTTCAAATATTTTTACACAATCAACATGTACTTATTCATTTCAAATCAAAAGCAAAACTATATAACATTTCAAATTGGCTCACTGCATGTCAAAAATAATTCTAGTATACTTGTCTCAAACTTTGTTATTCAAACTAATAAATCATATTATAACAAATAATTTATTCATATCATAAAACTCATTTTTATAATAAACAACTCACTAATATTCAAAACACATACATAAAATAAGTATTATTTCTTATAGTACAAGTAGGAATTGAAAGGTTCGAATTTTTGTAACGATGACTCAACAATCAAAATATGGATCCTCATGTCTATCTACAATCACAATCACAATAACAAAGTATTAATATTGAAGTCAAAATTTAATTAATTAAAGGCTTGACTACTTAAATCGGTTCCTAATTGTAACACATTAAAGGGGTGTGTGTATGTGATACTCTTAGGCGAATCCCACATTGACAAAATACGGGAGAGATGCTGGGCTTATAAGAGACTAGAGACTACTACTGAATAACTTAGCTTTAAACATTTTGGCCCAGCGGTTCAGGCTCAATAAGTTGTTAGGACCAGTAATTCTTAGGTCGTTACAAATAGAATCAAAGTCAATTCGCATGCAATCTTGAATGGTGGTGGGGTAAATCTTAGCGAGGACGCTAAATCCCAAAGAGAGGGATGTATATGACACCCTAAAGGGAGTGTGTGTGTGTGTGTGTGTGTGACACTCTTAGGTAAATTCTATATCAACAAAATACAAAAGAGATATTGAACTTATAAGAGACTAAAGACTATTACTAAACAATTTGATTTTGATATTTTGGACTAGTGGTTTAAACTCAACAAATTGCTAAAGCAGTAGTTCTGGGGTCATTGCACTAATCCTACTTCAGAATCTTAGCACGTATCTCGATGTTCATTACCTAATATCCAAATCCAAAATAGACAAAAAATATGAACTAATTTCACATTAAAACCCTTAAATTGAAGTGAATTAATCTTAAATATCCTTGAACCGCCTTGAATTGGCTCTAAATACCATTAAACTAGCCTAAACTGGCTTTAAACATCCTTGAACCAACTTGAACTAACTTCAAACAACACTGAACCAACCAAAATTGGTCATAAATTGTCATGCCCCAAAACCAAGCACATGACTGACACTACGGCTACATCATCAACCTTAGTAAGTCTCAAACAAATCAACATTTATAATATACAAATTAATATAATTATCACAATTCATACAATTAGAAGAACCTTGTTTGAAAAATAAATAGAAGCAACTTCACAGAAACTCGTGTGCTCGCTTGGAAAAGTGATCAGAAAGATGAGGCTACACTATGATCTGAAAAATATTGAAAAAGAGGCGAGTATAAAATTCAGTAAATGATAATATAAGCTCTAACATACTAGAACATGCATTGTAAAGCATGCCAAACATATAAATACAACAAAGCGGTGAGGAAACAAACATATCATTGTAAACCACACATATATGCGTCATAAATTCAAAAATATATAGGAGTATTAAAGTATCAGAATCTCATTTTACGATAAAGCGTATTATATCGGAGATATCACATGTTATATATTATATCAGGATCTTATATTGAATCAAAACCAGAACTAGAGCTAGAACACACATAAAGCATGTAATGCTGAGACAAAATTGTGTTCGTCTAATTGAAACTAGAGCAACTCTCAGTATATGATTTTTAGAAAACACAAACATACACATAGTAAAGACATACTTTTAGATCAAAATCATGTATTTCATAAACCTTACTAAAAATTTCAAAAAAATGAATACTTGTCCCATTTTTTAATTTCTAAAACCAATGACGCATATCATAACATATAATAATGACTAGAGTTAAAACACATATATAAAGTATTATCACTTACAGTATGAGACAAATCCGAAAGCCAAAATCTCTTAATAATCTTAGTGGTCGAAATGTGTTTCTTTAAGAGTATCTGTAATCAAAAGAGTATAATAGCAAAACCAGAACTGAAATGTGAACCAAAAAGGACCGAAAACATGAACTTATTTCACATAAAAACCATTAAACTAGAGTGAACCAATCTCACATATTCTTGGATCAACTTGAATTGGTCCAAAACGCTACTAAATTGAATTTCAGATAAAAGTATTTAGTTTTACAATTTATTTAATAAAAGTTTTCACAAGCTATAATTTTTGAAACTTCTGAATTAGAATTTTAATTTTTAAAAAATATTAGACATTTTAAAATTATAAAATTTTTATTCTTAAATTTTAAAAAATACATTGTAATTTTAATATTTTTGGAGGGTTAAGAGTTCTAGAAAACCTAAAACAAAGTGTCCTCTAAATATTTAAATTCATAATTTTTAAATTTTAAATTCGCTAAAACTATTTCTTTATAAAAAATGTAAAGTTAAAATATTTAATATCAAACATTTTTTTTTAAAGAAAAAAGGATGGGGTCCACGGTACTTTTTAAAGCACGTAGCTGGTGGCGAATGATTGGAAGCTCAAAAGTTGCCAACCCGCGGCCCGCGCCCTTCGCGTTCGGCACGTTCCGAGATCGGACGTTTCATTTTCATTTGTCGAGTCACCATCATACGGCAATAACTTAATATATTTTAATGTGCATTTTTCGGATATTATTTGATAGTTATTTTGAACTCAAATTTTTTTTAAAATCGAGGAAATAATAATTTTTATTTTTTAAGAAAATTTAAATATTTACCGTTTATGAATACGTAAAAAAGAGAAAAAACAAAGCAAGTTACGATTTACCACATGTCGGGTCGGACAAAAGGTTAAAAATGTAAAAAGATGATCTCAATTAATGCACCCTGCCAATCCGGCCTCCAAAGTAAAAACAAAAAAAAAGTAAATAGAGAATAAAATATTTACAAAGAAGGAAGAGTAATAAATGTTGAACTCTGCTCTGGTCCTCGTTAATAAGTGGTCGGTTCCTATTACAATTTATTTTATTAATTTAAAATTCTAGCAGTGATATAGTGCATTACCACAAAGAGAATTAATTAAAAGAAGAAATAAATTTCTGTTTTTGTCATTTTTAATTAACGATTTTCTAAATATAATATTAGGACCGTGAGCACAAATTATGTTTTCCGCGCATGCTGCAAAGTCTGAGAAATTTCAAAGAAATTAATTCAAAAATCATTTTATTAGATTTAATTGCTCATAAAATAATTAATATTTAAAATTAAGTAAATATTATTTAATTTTAATATAAGTATATATTTTTTAGCAAAAATGCTTACATTATTTTAATTACTCAAATACTTAACCGACCGTGATAATTTTTTAATAAAGCTCTCACAGCTAATGAATGTTCTCAAAAGAGAGTTTAAAGAAATATAATTATTTATGTCATGTAGTGCTATTTAATATTTTTATTTTTGAAAATGTCAAAAGTTAAAAAATAAAAATGATAATAAAAAAGATAGGGGATGAAAACGGAAATAAATAATAGCAATTTGGCGAGCCCCTGTCCCCGTCCCAAGTTCCTTTCCTTCACGCCAACACCATGACCCAGGAGAACTCTCCGCGTAATCAAATACTAAGCCCCTTTCTCTCTCTCTAACTTTCTGTATATCTCTCTCACTCGGAGTTTCAAACGTAACCCACGAGACCGGGTAGACGAGGTGCTCTGTTCCAACACCATTGCTCGCCTCCTCCCCTGTACGTTCTTGCTCTCTAAACTTTCTCTCTCTTACGCTTCTAAATCGTTGTGGGCTGAAGTCGTCGTCCTTTTTATATTCGTGACAGAGTCATCATGGGCCTTGTAGTTGTTTACAGATCTTGCTTTCGTTTAAATATACCTAGAACAACTATATATATATGTATGTTCGTCTAGCTCTGACTCGTATATGTACGCGTAGTTTGGTAAGTTCTGGGCCTACCTTTCATATATGAGGATTTGAATTTCCTTCCCTCTCTATCTCCTCGCGTCTTGTTTTTGGTGCATCTGAGGCTTTAACTGCCGATTGTTCCAGGTAACGTTTTGCAAATCATTAACGGGTTCAGCTTTCTTTGCCTTTCTGTGAGCTCCGTGACTCTGTAGTTCTATTTCTCTTTGCTTTTTAGGGCTTATTTGGTTTTTGAGATCTTTTCTTTTTTACCGGCCTTTCTTCTTTTATTTCCAGGGCGGTTAGTTATTTTCATTTTCCTAACGGTTTTGTTATTGGAAGAGAAATTTTGGGGGTATTTGTTAAAGAGTGAGGTGACTCATTGGAATCATCTCCTAATCTTGAAATTTTTATTTTTATCTTATAAGTTCGCTGTATTTGTCTTTGTCCAATTTGGTTCGGAGACATGCATTTTCTTAGTTGTATGTTTGAAATTGTATTTTATTCTTGACCATGAATTCATATTTGAGTAATGATCCTTCGGGTATTGTTCTTTTCGCAATATTTGTCTTACATGATTGTTTTACCAAACGATGTGTTAGTATCTCGCTTTCAACCGAGTTTCTTGATTTAGTGAGTACTTGGAATTTTATGTTGTGGTTTTAGATGCCACTTACAAATCTGGAATTTGAAATTCACTGAAGTTTATTTGAGATTGTTGTTTAGTATGAGATATTATGTTTAGATTTGAACTCCTACATCTGCCCCTTCTAGTTCTAGGCCGTCCAATTTCAGTTTCTTCTAGACAATATTTGATCTCCGTCTTCATGTTTGACTAAGTTGTGGGTTATTTTGTAGATTTCATTAAACCTTGGTGTGTTTTGATACTTTCAGGTGATGCAAATTTACTAAGCCAAATTGCATTTGAGTTTGCGAGGGGGGAAGGAGTCTTAGTTGGCCATTGACTGGAAATCTGAGATTGTTCCATAAGTTAATTGTTGACGTTGAAGTCTAGAAGATTTTCCAAATGCTAAATGCTAACAGGGCAAGAAGTCAGCCTAGATCAACTCGATCTGTGTCTTTAGGAGGTAAGCTTCCTTTTCTGTTCTGTTGTTTAACTGTAAAGTTTTCTCCCCGTCACTTTTTGGTTTGTAAAAGTTAATTTTCTTCTTCTTACAAGAACTTATAGAATATAGATTAAATCAACTTCCTTTTTTCTTCCCATTCCTGTATTATGTATTTGGCTTGCTTCACTAATACTCTTCCTGTAATTTTGTCTCTTTCATTCTCTAATATTGATGGGTGGATGGGCCATGGTGTGTAGTTTCGGAATGGTACATTCTGTTTGCAATTTGCAAGATGAGATTAATTGTTGCTGTGTACACATTCAAACTGCCAAAGCTTTAAGCTTTACCGTGGCAAGTTGATAAGAATAGAGTTACATCTATGATACTGAACCACACCTCAGGCTGTATCCATCATATGTGTGCGCGCGCGTGCGCGTGCGTGTGTGACACACACACAAAGTTGTATACAAAAATGTGCTTTTATTGTACTGGGAACGAATTTTATAATCTTCTTTTATAGTTGTCATATTCTATATGTTTTGTCATTTTTTTTTACTGTATCTATGTGTAGGTATGGATTATGCAGACCCAAAGAAGAAGAACAATGTTGTAGGCAAAGTTCTCTTGGCTGCTACACTAACAACATTGTGCATTATCATGCTCAAACAATCTCCAAGTTTTACCAGCCCAAGCCTGGTAACTCCCAAATTTCTTTATTTAAAATTATTTTGTCTTATGGTTTGTGTTATGCATTCTCATGCTAATTTACCAGTGTGGTTCTTTCCCTCTCTTTATTTCATGCAGACAAACACTCAAGTTTTAACAGGAATAAACATGCGTTAGCTGTTGCATATTTTTTATGACCTTTTCTGAAAATAATTTTGAATGGCTTCTGAATGCAGTAATTAGGGAAAAAGTCAGCATTTCCGTATGTAACTCAGAGCTCACTTATCTGACGCATGCGAAAGAACGGCCTTCTAATATTATCTTCCTTCTGCAGAATATGCATTCAAGTGAAGAGCTACTCATTTGTCACATTATCCTTAGATGCCATGTTTGACAAAGACCACTCCTTGGAATTTCTTTACAAACCACCATTTAATTTCCTACTGAGTAATAAATGGGTCTGATAGATGTTTGCTCTTCTTCCTACTTATTGCACATTGAAATATAGCTTTACAAGCATGCTTAATTTTTTCCCTTGTACTTTTAGGTGCCATTATGTTTTGGGCCATTAGGACACTTGAATACATTCCTGTACTCACATGCACTGGTAGCAAGAGATTGATATTGTAAGAAAATCCACCTTTATGATTGGTGCTGAAATGCTTCAACAGCAAAAGATAAACATGTGGCAACTGGCAAGCAAAACCCACTATTTTATAAGAAAGTGGTGGCCCTATATATGACCACATGTAATAGTTGGATTGGATTTCGTTGTATGCAGTGAGTATAATTTGTTACCATGGTGAATGCAAAATACAACAATGTAAAGCACAATTGATTTTCTTTTCTTGATGAGTAAGAGAAGCTTGTATTTCCCTTCCCTTATGAGTAGGTGAGCTTGTAACAACGAATAACGTTAATGTGGCCTCCAGTATTTTCCTCTGCTCTGGTTTATGGCTTAGAGCTATTTTTCTTCCCTTGCAGATGGTCCTTAATGAAATTACAGGAACTTTGCAGATAATTTGATCTGTTGTTTCTGCATAAACAAGAGGGGTTTTCACACTCAATAGGGTGCGAAAATCTACACCATCTTTGGAGGATGGTTGATTGCTTTAGAGTTTCAATGTATTTGAAGAAAAGCCAAGTTACATTTGGGCAATTATTAGGGGATGTTTGGTGCTTGGTTGTTTTGGTTTCTATAGTGGGCTTTTGAGCGCAAAAGGCAGAAAAAGCCATGAGCTAGGATTTTGTAGCTTCTGGGCCCAAAATTTCAAAAACCCAGGTATTAAACACCCCTTAAATATGTGGAGATATATTGAATTTGAAATATACACATTTGCCCAACTAGTCTGGAAAGATTAGATGTTTTTATCAGTATTGAATGGTTTTTCAGCATAATTTCAAATTAAAAATTGTGACAAAGCTTCAGTTAGACCAAATCTATTACCTGTCTTTTTGATAGTATATCTATGTAATACTTTTGCCCGTCATGTTCAAATTTTCTCTGTTTGATTCATAGAGATCTTTGGGAAGGAGATATGGAACATTTGGTTGTTAAATGATTGTTTGTCATTGGAATGACCGTAATAACATTCTGAATTTTCTTTTTGATGACCATTCAGCCATCAAAAGGACCCATGCCATTCATTGTAACAATCCTTCTTTTTTTTTTTTTCCTCTCATATTTACCTTTTTTTCTCCTATCTCCAGTTCTCCCGTCACGAGCCAGGAGTTACTCATGTTTTAGTAACAGGAGGTGCTGGATATATTGGTTCACATGCTGCATTACGACTTTTGAGGGACTCTCATCGTGTAACTATAGTGGTATCTTCTTTTTCACATTAAGCACTCATAATCTTTGTTTATCAATTCCCTCCTTCAATGCTTCTTAATTTAGGTTTTCAAGGAGAAAGTATTCTGGTTTTGCAGGACAATCTCTCTCGGGGAAATCTGGGTGCTGTGAAGGTTTTACAGGAAATATTTCCAGAACCCGGGAGGCTCCAGTTTATTTATGCAGACTTGGGGGATGCAAAAGCTGTATCCTGATTGCCATTTTTGAATGATATAAATACAAGGTTTCTCGTTTATTTTTTTGTAAACCTCTAAGTGTGCTACTGTTTTCATAGTTTCCTTAAATCAAAGTTTTAGGTGAATAAAATATTCTCTGAAAATGCATTTGATGCTGTGATGCATTTTGCTGCTGTTGCATATGTTGGAGAAAGCACTCTTGATCCCCTGAAGTAAGTGTTGGTGAATTTAATTTTGAGATTTTTGTGTTTCATTTAAACTGGGCACTTTACACGTTCTGCATATTCCCTTAAAATCATCTGATGCTGGATGCATTGAACTACCTTTGCATATGTTTGGGAAGAAAGCCTTTATGCTTTGAAGATTTGGTTCATTTATGTTTGAGCTGTTTATAAAAACGGGTATACAATTTCTGCAAGTTGCCATTGTTAGCGGAAGTAGATCTGAAACTTGAGTACCACCAAAACATTAAATTGACTTCTAGTGTTTTACCATGTTAGTATTGTTATTATATTCTTTATTTGTTAACCTGTTCATGCCTCCATAATTATCTTGATGGGAGGAGCCAAACTAAATGATTAATTGAAATCTGTATAAGATTCTTTAGTAGGCAGATAAAACCTAGGCTACTTCCAAATTATCAAAGGAACAACTACAAAGGAAATCATCTGAAAGTCATGCTTCCAGTCCTTGTATATGACATGGTACCGTCAAATTTTATTATAGTATCTTCCCATCAGGCACCCAGGTCATCCTTAAGATACTGTCCTGTCTTCATGTTGCACAGCCACAATATGGGTTCTTGGATCAGCATTTGGTTTAAAGGTAAAGAAACCTTATCATGACTTTGTGCTCTTGTGCTTGTGAATAGAGCCTTTCATTACAATTGCACAAAGCTAGAGAAGAAAGAATTCTTCTGAAAAAGATTTTCTCCTCCTCTGATTCCATCTCATATTTTTTGTGCATTATGAAATGCTCAACTACAATAAAGTGCAATACACTCCAAACTCTCTCCCGTGTATCATTGTTGGACATGGGATGAGGCATTGCAAATTCTGGAAATTAATAGTGGGGTATTTGTGGGATCGGGCATGGTAACTGTAATGATTATGTGGTGGGTCCCGTAGGATTGGATATAATGCGAGTGAATATTGTTATTAAGATGTCTTTGGTTAGGCATAGGATATAAGAGGGGACAAGAGGGAATATTGAAGAGAATTAAAAATTTAAGAGATTTGCTTCAGATCATGGCTGCTGGACTACACTTCAATAGCTGTGCATACAATCATTTAGCTGGGGATTCCAAGTAACTCCTGCTTCACAGGGTGGGAGATTGGATTTCGAAAGAAAACTAAATGCCAAACATCATGTAGGGAGTCTAGACAGACACATCTGTAGGATTTGGTTGGTCCAGTGGTTGGCCAAACCACTGAAACAATGTACCGGACATGGTCTAATTGTCTTGCCTGGTCTCCTCCAGTCAAGTGAACAGAGATATCCTATACATGCTGAGATCACGTGAAGGAAAATTTCCTGGATTTGATGCAGTGATATTAAATTGTGACTTGGGCATCATCAACTTTAAACATATAAATGTGTGAGAGTTAGGGCTTTGTATGCTTGATTTTCTTCTAGAATCTGCAGCATCATCAAGAGATATAACCAATGGACTATCCTTTTTCCACTGGATACAAAATCCCTATAAGTTTCTTGGTCCCTGCACCATTGTGGCCACAGTCTTGTATCTGTATGATTACCCCTAAGATTTTGTGGATTTTATTAATGTGATCTGCAAAACTTCGTTTCTTGGTTTATGCACCCATACGATTACTTGCAAACCTTTGACTTGCAATTTGTGAAGATAAAAAGTTGAGTAAATTGGTCTTTTGGTTTCTGATCTAGAATCATTATCCCTTAATGGTATACGTGTTAATAAATTATCAGTAAAATTTTTAAATAACAGAAAATATTCCATTAAACAATTGGGATGGACTTCATTGGTACAATTGCAGCATGGCTCATATTTTTTCTTAAGAAACATATTTGTCAGTTGCTTGGATACATTTTGGTCAGACTGTTTCTGTTATTAACATGTTGAGTGCATTGTTTATCTTCTTATCATAATTATTTATTTTAATTTGGCAGAAACATCTGATCAATTTACTTAAGATTGATACAGATGTCTTTATTTTCTCTAGGATTTGAATTTGAACAGCTTAAGGAATTGGACTAACTCACTGACTGTTAATTATTAATCGAATGGAAGCTATATCTTGTTTACTCATTATATTTATCTGATTATACAGGTATTATCACAACATTACATCAAATACATTGTTGGTATTAGAGGCAATGGCAGCGCATGGTGTACAGACATTAATTTATTCTAGTACATGTGCAACTTACGGAGAACCTGAAAAGATGCCAATTACAGAAGAAACTCCACAGGTGAAGATTCTATAATTGCTTCTTTATGCGTATTGCAGATTTGTTAGTGGTTATATGCTTTACAATAAGTTTGGAGATGCACTGCTGAATGACTCCTCTCTTCTTGGATACTTGTAGCTTCCCATTAATCCGTATGGAAAAGCAAAGAAGATGGCTGAAGACATTATTCTTGATTTTCATAAGAACTCAAATATGGCCGTTATGATCCTAAGGTAGGTTTCTCAGCCTGTAGAAATATTTCCATGGTCCTTTCTTTTTAATATTTTTCAAATTGAAGTGGCTCAAACTCAATTTTTCTAATTTGCAGTGTTTCTTCCTCTCAAATTATGTTATATGTCCTTTAAACTTTACATCTCTAGTAAATTTCCAGTGTTTCTTACAGCATGATTTGGTATTTAAAATTTATCCATGTGTTCTTTATACCTTAAAGATTTACCTCATTGTTATTCAAGCCACATATGTTCTGTGTAGATATATTAATTTAAGCATCACACTCCAGTGGATATAATATGCATCATTTCCCTGAAATCTCCTTTGTGAGGAGTTGATGTTGTTCCAACAAATCTGATTGTTGCAATGTTCGTCTACCAGAAGGATTTGCTTTCCACTTTACCTTCGAAAATAATTTATATGCTCTGAATCCTCTTGTCAAATATGGTGTATGTATAATTATTCTTTTGCAAGCTATAAGGCCTACTTCCTTTGGTATTATCATCTAACCAGTTTATGACCTAAAAAATTTAGTAATTGGCTCATTTGTGATTATACATATTTTCAGATACTTCAATGTAATTGGTTCAGATCCAGAGGGTAGGTTAGGAGAGGCTCCTAGACCAGAACTGAGAGAGCATGGTCGGATATCTGGTGCTTGTTTTGATGCAGCTCGGGGTATTATTCCTGGACTTAAGGTATACTCAATTCTGTCTTCAATTCCTTTCTTTCATGTTGGTAATGAATTTTGTGTATGTTAGAGCTGATCTTTTTAATCTGTGTAGTCTTGTTACTTAAAATTGGAATATTGGAGCCTGCTGCAATTTAAGATATGCATAACTCAGGAAAACCTGCCTATTTTCTTTGAAAGAAGATCACGTTAAAATGAAAAAATGCCATAATTTCTTCGAGGCTTTCAACTTAGATAATCAATCTGATGTTTTCCTGGCCTTTTTGTACAGGTTAGAGGAACTGACTATAAAACTCCTGATGGGACTTGCATTCGGGACTATATTGATGTTACTGATCTGGTTGATGCTCATGTGAAAGCACTCGAGAAGGCGACACCTGGAAAAGTTGGAATTTATAATGTAGGAACAGGAAGAGGTAATGCTCTTTTTCCCCTAAAGATAGCATTTGGGTTAGGTTGGGTTGGGCTCATTTTGAGCTCATCTTCAGGGTCCTCCTACATGTGGTGGATGACGTGGAACATGTAAGATGACACACAGACTTAATATCTTGTTATTCATAATCAATTAGAATAAAAATAAGATGATGTCATTTTAAAATTTTGCAACTTCATTTCATAATTTGATTTGACAACTTGCTATGATGATATGATAACTCTTTATGATAAAGTGGTGATATAATTTTAAGAAATTAAAATAGAATCATGTGTTGGCTTATTTTGGTGTATAGCATGTTGTTAAATAGGCCATAACTCAATCCAGAATCTTGGATTATTTCAGACGAGTCATTTTTGACTTTGGTGGAAAAAATTATATGACCAAGCCTAACACTTATGGATGGGTTAGAGTTTGGGTGGCATATTGCCACTTTTATCTTTCACATGTGAATGAGATCAGATTTCCAATCAAAAAGCGTTTTATTTCTCACAATTGTTCCTGGGTCTAATCAGGTAGATCGGTCAAGGAGTTTGTTGAGGCATGTAAGAAGGCAACAGGGGTGAGTATCAAGGTCGAGTACCTTGCGCGCCGACCTGGTGACTATGCTGAAGTATTCAGTGATCCAACAAAGATCCGCCGTGAGCTGAACTGGACAGCAAAATACACTGATCTTCAAGAGAGTCTGCAGATTGCGTGGAGATGGCAGAAGTCGCATCGCCAGGGGTATGGGTCTTCTTTAACGATGGCTTCTTAATATATATGCAACTCTCAGAGCAGAAGATTAATGCAGAAAATGGAGGAGACCCCATGTTTAGCAGGCTTTGTCTTGCCTTTGTTTAACACAGAATAGGGGTTCCATGGCCAAGCATTTTGGTATAATTCTTTTTGATTTCTATGGAGTTATATGGAGTAGAGTAGTAGGAAGCCAGCTCATTAATTGGTTTTATGTATTCCATACATTGCAAAAGCAGATAAATAATATTACTAGTCGGGTATGGCAGTTTTAATGCTGATATTTCTGTCATTCTCCTCTCAAATATCTCGACTTTTGCTAGCACATGGAAGGATGTACAACTTGGAAAAATTAGGATGGAGACAAAATATACGTCCAGATCTGCAGAAAATGCACATGAGATTCTTAGCTTGGTACATGTTATGCGTTTTTATTTTCTTCCCCACTGTGGTAATTGTGCTTTTAACCGTTACAGATTTTTGTTAGAGTCTAGAATTTTTGTCCTTTGTTTTAAGTCAGTGAGACTAATAGCATCAGTCTCTGTAAATGTGATCCTTCTGACCTTTTTTATTAAGAAATGACTGAACTAAAAAAGTTAATGATGGGGACAAAGACAATGATAAACATCCCTCTTTATTTGAAGAATTCACCTGGGAAAGCACCTTTAGTTTGGGCAATATCGATTAGGAAATATGGGTGATAGTAGAGAACTGATTATGCCTTGAGATAATTAGATTAAAACTTAAAAGATGACTACTGCAAGTCGTAGATCTGGCAAAACCAAGCAGCAGCGTGTATCAAAAGTGCTCTCTGTAAATAATGCTTTCCTTTCCGTGAAGCTAATGAAAACCCAACCCAAAATAGGGAACGTCTTCTCAAATGTCTTGGCCATGACAAGTGCACAACGTTTTTGGCTTGGATATTTTTATTAAATTTGTTTGTGATTTTTACTTGGAAAAGAAATTTCATTCCAAAGTGGCCTCCGCAGATGCACGTTCGAAAGCACGGGAGATTTTAATAAAATAAAAATATCATCGACGCTAATAGGGTTGTGAGTATGAGTGTAGTTTGGGCTGAGATCTAGACCTATCCAAATGCTTTTAGTCTGAAGTTTTAAAGATTCTTAGTCAAGCTGGAAGTATCATCGGCATGGATTTGGCTTTTAGGGCGAATTGCTTCATGACGCCATCGTCCTCCTTAGCCTGCATCATTTTAGAGGCCTGAACCACCGCACTGTTTGCAAAGCGAGTCCTCAAATCTACTCCAGGAAAGCTGTAAAGTTATAGCATGATGAAATCCCTTAAAATCACTTCCCTCTTGTCTTTGGGTGTGAAGAAATGTTATGCACAATATTCCATTTTTTCTGCAAACGTCTCTTAATAATTCATTTCCAGAGCCACAAATGTTCTGCTGTTCATAGCTTTCAATCTCTGAAGTTTATATCCACTAATACCAGTAGTTGTACAACGCAGATGGCGTTCTTCACCATGAATGACCTAATCGAGTCATGAAGATTGTCTCAAAGACTTCTTAGTCTCGTTAAATCCCGAAAAAAGGCCAACTTGGTTATCAAATTCTTACAAAGCTTTGGCTTCTAACAAGCCCAGGTCGGGGGTATAGTTTCCAAGCTCCCTGAGATTCTAATTTATTATCCTCTGGAAAACGCTAGAGCCCAAGATCTGTTTCTTTCGTTCTCTTGACATGTCTAAATATGATGTCACCAATATTTTTTTCAACTGTCCATCTCTACTGGCTAGAAGCTTGAAGAATTGCCTCATCCCTTTGTTTGATTTGCTTAGGACTTTCTTAGATGAACAGCAAGCAATCAGTGCAATCAAAGGCTATCCATATATTATTCTTTATGATGTTGTGAACAATATGTTCCCTAATCTGCTTTCATTGAGGAATAAAGGTGTTCCAGATTCCCATGTTTTGAAACTGATAAATAATTTAGTATTAATATTACACTCTACCCATAACTCGAGTGAGATGTAACAATAGAATAGGGTTTACCAACCTCTGATACTCGAGATTTACTAGAGAAGGCTAAATCTTATTCAACTATCGTAACTACTGAATATTCTATATAACTCACGTCTAAATAATTGAATAACATAACATAATTGACATAACATAACAGGATAATTAAGTCATTAATATAACTGAAAACATAATTTCTTTATGTAATTTCTCTTTCCTTTTATTTCTTTCCTTCTCCACCTTTCTTTTCTTCCTTCCTTTTCGTAAAAGTACTCTCTCGTGGACAAGTGGGGGCACATGCAACCCCACCTAATTATAACTCTCTCACTCTTTTTTTTTTATATATTCTTTTATTACTATTATTTGTTATTATTATTATTTTATATTCTTTTATTATTATTTGTTGTTGTTTTTTTTTTATTTTTTATACTAAATTTAAATCGTTAGTAATCCCACTAATTATACTTATACAATATAAACTATAGAATACATGATGAGTGTTTTGGATTGGGATATTACAAATCTATCCCCCTTAAAGAATTTCGTCCCCGAAATTCAGTTATACTTATGAAACAAACTGATGGAGATATTTTTTTCTTATATCTTCCTCACTTTCTCAAGTCATATCTTCTTGATTTTGATTTTTCCACAAGACTTTTACTAATAGTATTTATTACTCTAAACATCTTAAGTCCTTCTACTTACACTATTTTGGTTGTCAAATAAAATTTTTGCATTTAAACTTAATCAAAACCTTTAGTCAAATGGTTAATTTACTACACAAAGTTTTGTCTTAAAAATTTCAAATCAGTTCTTTAAATTCTCTTCAACCATCAATTTAACAAAATTTCTAATTACTATTAAAATTTTTTAAAAATTTTCAATCTACATTTTGGCTTATCTTCAATAGTTTAAATTTTCAAATTTAAGTTTTATATCATTAATAGTCATCCTTTAAATAATTATGCTCTTTTTGAATTCTTCAAACTTTAAACTTATTTCCATGATCGCATAAAATATATGCCTATAAATTGTAGTAGTTCGACTTGCTACCTAAGTCTACGTTCACTCCTCGAACTCCAACTAGCCGAGGTTCCACTAAGTCTCTTGCACTTGATGGAGGCAAGAAATCCCAAATACAAACAAAGTCCCTTGCACTTGGCGGAGGCAAGAAATCTCGATTACAAAACCTTTGATTTGGTGAGTTTCAAACACCAATACAAATAGAAATGAAGATGAAGTAGAAATGTAGCAATTCCTCTTAAGTAGAATTAGCTACCACTCATGTACAAAATGATCTCACTTCAAAGAGGCACTCTCATGAATAAAACAATTTCCTCTATACACTCTTTGATCTAGTAATAAATAATATAGCACAAAGAATTAGAGAGAGATTGAAGAGGTTTGAGAGCTTGTTGTTGTATCTTTCTCCCTTCAATCCATACTCCTTTTATAGGCAAAAACACCAAGAAGACATTGGCCTTTGTGGAAGACAAAATTATTTCTCAACAGTAATTGCACACTGGCTTGATTCAAAAATTCAAATAAAATAGCTCCGAATGTTCAAAAAAAAAATATTCTTGAATACTCCTCATTGAGTCTATTTTCAAATGCAAAAAGAATCATTCAATTATCATGCACCATTTGAGAGAAATCATCAAATCTTCAACGATATGCCAGACTGTAAAAATTGCTTTTGTCAAAAGTTGTTGGCCAAATTCAAAATTGTTTAGAAATTTGAAATTGTATTCAAAAATAACAAATTATATATATTTGAAAAGCTTATAACGTCTACTTTCATTCAAATTTGGATTCGTGCGAATTTGACTTTTATATTTTGAGATATTGTAAAAACACTGTAATATACTCATTTTGTCTGCTGACAATGCAACTCAGCAGAATGACCCACTTTGAAAAATTATATCTATCAAACTATAAGTGTAAAATGTGCAAATAATATATGCATTTAAAACTCAATACGTTTACTTTACAAATAAAATTAATTCAGAATTTTATTTATATTATAAATTATATTTTACTAATTAAAACAAATATCGTGCAGATTTCAAGAATGACTTTTTCAGAAAATAATATATGAGATTGATATAATAAACTGCTTTAATACAAAAGAATATATATGATGAATTGTATATCAAAATAAAGATATTTGAGTGTAGTTTCATATAAAATTGACTTTATAATTTTTTGACTTTTCTATTGTAAGATATAATTAATTTACTACACACATATCTAATTTGACAGCTTCACAATTTAGTACATGTAATGTATGTCGTTAAACAATAAACTTAATATTATAAATTGTCCATATTATTCGTTATATAAATATATAATAATTTTAATTTATTTTGTCATTATCATTAAGCACATATCATGTAATTTCTCCCCCTTTTTGAAATTATCAAAAGGATAAAATATATAAGCTCCCCCTCAATATATGCATGAAAATATTTAGAGATTTTTCTTTTAAAAAAAAAATTGATGCAAATAATATTAGCTGTATACTTGAGTCTATAAGACCAAGTTCTCTTTTAATAAAACAAAATCTTTCTTCATTAAGGGGTTTTGTAAAAATATCCGCTAGTTGATATTCGGTATTCACAAATTCTAGTGTTATGTCACATTTTTGAACATGATCTCTCAAGAAGTGATGTCTAATATCAATGTGTTTTGTTCTTGAGTGTTGAATAGGATTCTTAAAAATATTGATGACACTAGTATTATTACATTTAATAGGAATATGTTCATATTTAAATCCAAAATCTAGTAAGGTGTGTTTCATCCATAAAATTTGTGCACAACAATTTCCCGCGGCTACATATTCCGCTTCGGCTGAACGTAATGCAACTGAATTTTGTTTCTTACTAACCCAAGAAACTAAAGATTTTCCAAGAAAATGACAAGTTCTACTAGTACTTTTTCTATCTAATTTACATCCTCCAAAATCCGTATTCGAATAATTAGTAAGTTCAAAGAAGGTTTCTCTAGGATAAAATAATCCTACATTTACAGTTCCTTTAAGA